CAATTCGGACATTTCATTCGGAAGATATCACGAGTTTAAAAATGCAAGTATTAGAAAAAAGTCGCGTGGTTGCCGCTCATCGCGCTGAGCTAGCCAGCATGCGATGTAGGCTCCATGTAAGCGTCACTGGGGTACGAGGGGGGAGTCAATCACAACTTATATTATAAATGCGAAAGTAAGTCTGTCTATCTGTTACGCTTTCCCGCTTTAATCTCTCAACCGATTTTGATGAAATTTGGCACAAACAATCTTTAGACCCTGAGAAAAAACATAGGTTACCCTTTATTGCGAAAAAGGGGATGAAGAGGTTGAAAGTTTGTATGGGATTTCTTAATTTTAAAAGATATAACCATGACACTTTATAGTAAGGCATTAGATAAGATATATTTAAACATTTGTTCTAGCGTTTTTGAAATTTCGACCAGTGAGGGGGTGAAATAAGGGTTGAAAGTTTGTATGAAATTTCTTAATTTTAAAAGATATAACCATAAAAATTTTTATTTAAGCACTTGATAAGATATATTTAAACATTTGTTCTAGAGTTTTTGAAATTTAAAATCGTTTGTTATTTTTACCACCGTGGGGGTGAAATTCTACACACGGGATTCCCGAAATTCGAACAGAACAGAACGGAACAGGAACTACGAAGCTAAACTTTTTATATACAAAATTTTAACCACTGAACCTAGGAACATCATATTTAGAAGTTTTGGTTGTATCAAGTTAAAAAAAAAAGGCTTTTGAAGTTAAAGTTCCTTAATGAATAGGTTCTCTGCATCGCCACCGCACAGTGGGAAAGCACCATACAAGACCGTCTCCAAACCCCAAAACATGAAAGTCGTTGTTATGGAGTAAAACTAATTAATTAATATAGTCTTATAAATAAGATTTCTTTTCTATATTTTTTTCATTATTTTTTGCAAACCATAATGTATATTAAAAGGCATCAATGTTAACTCATGTTCAATGCTGTGATTTTGGCCTACTACATTACTACAATTCAACGCCACATTACTCGAAAGTTTTTTCTATAAATGTATATATGTAAGTAATATATATTTTTTTAATGCTTATAATATCCTTATAACGTTTCTTAAATAATATTTTGTATATTAAATAAATAAATTACAATTAACCACCATAGTTTAAAATGGTATAATTATTGGGTAACTTTTTTTTTATTAGATTATAAACGACAAATTGTATAATAAATTATTTTAATTGTTTTAGTTATCAATGTATGCCATTAATTAATGTAATCTTAAGATATTATTATAAATTTTTATTGTTGTATTTTATGATTAGACTAAGTATTGACTACAGTGATTGTTAACCCATTATTAAATTGATGATATTGTAATCCAAACAACCAATTTATTTTAAATTTTAATTGTAAGAAATCGTTTAACTTTATTTTGATTTTTGTAATTGTATTATTATTAATTCGATTTTTATTTATTTTATTTTTATTGTATTATTATTAATTAATTTTTCATACGATGTGATCATTTTTTACATTTTTGTCAAGTTAGAACCACATAACAGGATATATTAATCGTTTTTCCAACCCGACACCAAAAAATATATATATATATATTAATCGAACATGTCGTGTTGCTTATATAGTTGTACAGTTTGGAACGTAATATGTATTTAAATTAATTAATTGTATCTTCAAAATGTAACAAATAAATAAATAAAAAATATTAGTAGGGATGTACGGACGAATTGATAATATTTTCCGTTTTTGAAGTCGGTGGAACAATGTATATTTTTATTCCTTGTATGAGAATATAAATTATAACATATTCGATTTATTATCCTACACGAGTTTTAAGCCAAATAATGTTATGTTATTTAAGAAAAATAATGTTATGTACCAAATTTCTGACATAAGATTAAATGTAAAATTTTACTGCATATTTTATTCTAATGATTATCATCTTCAAATACACTTTAGGTAAAGTCGTTTTAGTTTAAAGCTGCTTTTGTGTTCGTCAAATTGAGTCTGTTTTTTCTTATGTTAAAGCTTTTCTGGGCGTGCCTCAAGGATAAATTTGAATGTTTCGTGTTTAGTATCAATAGAATAATGAAAACTGGTAAAAAAAACTAATAGTAATTTTTTAGAACCGTATTAATTTTTATTTCAATATTATAATGGTAATTATGAATCACTTAATTGAATGATCATACGTCACAAATGATTACTTCATTTTGAGTAAGATGAAGGAATATGGTTAGGATCCACCACAAGGAAGGGTTTCGAATGAAAAAGCGTGCATCGAAATCGGTCAATCCATCACTCACAATGCCACAGAAAGAATAAGGTACATTCACTCAAACACGCACACACTCTTTAAAAATTATTATACATATCTGCTGCACAGATTCCATAAAAATCTATTTAATTGATTAGAAAGAACTCAGTGAATTTTTGAAATAATAAGCTAAGTCGATAAGTTGAATATAATGAAATAAGAAACAATTGGTACATTTTTTCACAGAAAACGATGAACGGTCTATTCTTGTAATAAACGATTCTACTTAATTTGTTGCAAAAAGAACACCGAATAACCGCGTTCCAGTCAGGAAGGTATAAAGCATTAACTACATACATGTTCATACAAGTAAGTCAAAAAATATTGTTGCCGTGCTATTTTCGCTCTTTATTTCTTGAGATCATTTTTCATGTTTTTGTTTTTTACTTTACGTTGGGTGCTGGGTTTATTTTTTCAATTCTTTAAATACACTATTGGATTAAAGTAAAATATATTGTTTTTAGTTTGATTTTTTTAATACACTTTTGTTATCTTTAATCACTTTTTAATACGAAATCGAATTTATTTCTTTGTAATCAACAGCGTATACAGACTATATTTGTACAGTTTTTAAAACTTCATCAAGACTATTTATTTTATTTATTTATTTATATTATCAAGTAACAATGACTCATTTACAAAATAATAATAATAATACATAAAATGTCAATAAAAATAATAATACATAAATTCTTATAATATAATAATAATAATAATTCATTCATATGTAAATTAGTAAATTAGCTGAAATTAGCTAATCGGCTGAGCCCCACATACGCGAATCACCACTGTCCCATCCCGTGAGATATGGCCCCGCAGCGATTCACGTATATACAGTCCAACCGATCAGCAATCATTCTTAATATGCTATTGGGGCTACTCCGCACCCTGCACACCAAGGACGCGCATCTCTTTCGCATAGTCGTAAAGAAACAATTCACTTTAGCGTCTGCGAACATCCCTGATGCGCTGCAGTAACGAGGCAGCCCCACCAGCGCCCGGAACGAGTTGTTGTATTGAACCCTAAGAGCGTTGTACGACTTTTGCGTATATTTGGCCCACAAGCCGCACGTGTAAAAGTTGGTGCAATAGGCTTGAAAGAGAGCGATTTTTACGTTCATTGAAGCACAGCGCAAACTTGCGAACCAACATATTCGCCCTTATCGACAACGCCCTCCTCTCGCGTTCAATATCAGAGTCACCACTGAGACTAGGAGTTAGGACATGACTGAGATATTTGAAAGTTGCGACTCGCTTTAATGGAACTCCGTTTATTTTTACACAGAGATTATTTTTTTATGGCCACAGAGATTACATTACAGAGTGTTTAATATAATATTTTTAACAAAGTGGATAACAAAAAGAGAGTATGTAAGTCTAAAGAAAATAATTTTTGACGCATGCGACTAGAGAATATTCACAGGTGTATGGGTATTTTTATGTACGTACGTGTGCGTGAGTGTGTCTGTGTGTGTGTGCGTGTTTAGTTTTGGCGGTAAGATAGTATCACATATTTGATTCTTTAATTGTTTTTTGGATAAGCGAAATAGGTCTAAATGAGAAAATAATTTATTGTATATTCGTGCTAGACGTACACTTATAGAACTTTTTGCATAATTTGTGTTACATTTAGGAACAACTAGTAGATGGGGGTTTCGCGATCAAAATGAGGAGGCATTTAGAAAAAATGCTGACACCAAACTGGGGCAATCCATCGTACCAGTTAAAATTGCTTTGTAACAGCATATCCTTTTGATTCCGTCTTTGCTCTAGCGAATCTAGTTTATAATTAATACAGGCTTCTTCATAACTGCCAAATATTTTAAAATTGATAAAAAGAAAGAAAGAAAAATATAACTCTGTAAAAAATAACTATTAACTCCAAGTAGGAATTTCAAACAATACTATAATTTACTTTCACCTGCACTCATCGGTACAATTTACGTTCATGTTAAAGAAATAAGAATTCTGCGATTCAATATTTTATTTTTCCAGATGAACGGACTGAATGTGGTGTACTTTATTTTAAATCTACCAGGTTTACATTTAACATTTTAAAAGCTAGAAAATATATATCCTCACTGTGTTTTATATAAATTATATATGAAAAATATTTCCAGTAATTTATTCCATATTTACAATATATCTTGTTATAAAATTGTTTTTATTAATTATTTCATTGTTTTAGTTTTCATTGCGTCGCCGACTTTAAAAACTAAATAATTTATCTTATTAACACGTTGACTGTGTATGCCCCATTGATGGGGCATGAGTTGTTTCCAAATGTAGAGGCTCATAACCTCAAACAAGTGTGAGTTTAACTACTTTTATCATTTTGTAATAACATAACATCATAACATTTTGTAGCAACCAGTGCAACGTTTTCTAAATATTCTTTTTGGGTCACGTCTCGGTAATTTGGTGAGGGAATGTCTGGATCTAGAAGTTTGAGTCAGCTCAGTTGACAGGCTGGACCTAGAAGAACGTGGTGTAGAGAGATCTATAGACGTCGTAGGAGTTTGAATGCTCAGTAGACGTTTAATGATTATTTCGTGGCCTCTTAGGACACTCATTTTATTATGTGAGCAGTCTTTATATATCAAGACGGCATTAATTACACAAATCGACATTAGATCTCCAGCAATTTTTTTATACCAAAAACAAGTTTTGCGAACAGGCGAATTATGGCTGGCAAGCTAGACCAGCCACATCTATTCCTTTTTTACCACGATTGTAATCTAATACAATTTTTGGCTTCAAAATTGGTCGGAATCCAGTTGACATCTGCATTTGATGATCGTGACATGTTGACATCACCGTTACGTCACGTTTATCCTTCCATTTCAATACAGTGAGGAAACTGTTTTGCATGGCAGAAATTTCACCCTTATTTAGGTTTTCCTTCACCACGTCTAGGGGAAGATTTCGTCTATTCATACGCACGGTTTCGCAGAAGTCTGTTTTTCGTTCTTTTATTATAGATTGAAAGCAGAGAAAATAATTAAATGGGTATTAAGTTATAGAGGAAAGTTAATAGGAACATTATTAAAGATACATGAACAATTTCAGGGAAAAACTCAAGAATTTGCCATCGGGTTGTAGTAAATATAATCGATAAGTTTAATATACTAGCAGGAAAATCTTTGCATCGGTCAACACAAGGGCCATTTTATTATGACACATCATACTGTAGGCGTAATATCAAAATATATATGTAACTATATTATATTTATTTATTACACGACATATTTCATATATAAAATTATATTTAATATTTATTTACGTATATTACACTCTATACAGTCACACTACACATTTATATATTCAATATTATATGTATAAAAATTTATGTAATATTATTTATAATGAATATTTAATTCACGAGCATACTCGGGCGAAACGCGTAGTATGCGGCGAAGCGAACGGGCGACGATATGAGTTTCACGTTTACCCACTGCTTCGTAAGATTTTAATATTCGATCGGATTAGCGAACAAAGACATTCAACCTTGCGCTTCGGTACTGAATACTCTAGTCATCATACTTCGTGTATATTAACAGTTAATTATTAGTTTTTCTACGTCCATAATACAAATTATTACAGCAAAATGTCCCAATTGTAATAGATAGCGAAGGAAAGGTTATTTTGGATGACTGCAATAATAAGACAGAACGGGAAAATGAAAGTGAGACTTGGTCATGTGACCTTAATAAATGTTTATTGGATGACACAATTTTCAAAAATTTAAAAAAGACATGTGATTATTTCTTAAAAATAAAACCACATAATTTTTACAAACTAATTTTACATAAAGACAACGATTTTATTCTTCGAGTACAGTTTCTAAACAGCAGAAAACCTCATTTTCCTAAAATTAGAACCATTGTGAAGCAACTTTACCAAATGACAAGTGATTGTAATAAAATTATGCAAATAGATAAGGCTTTAAATAATACTGATGCAGAAAAATTAAAAGAATTTGGGAATCCCTCAAATATGAAACAACGTAGAAATAAGTTAATAACGGTTGATAGCAATTCACAAGAGCCGAGTTTAGACGAAGATGAAATAATTGATAAACATCGAACAGCATTTAATTGTTTGAAAAAAAGATCACTTGACACACCAAAAAATGAATTTATTTCTTGTCAAAAGCTTCTCTGTTTGAAGGACGTAACGCACTTGTGTAGATTGCGAAAAACTATAGACAGTGATATTTGGTCAGAGCTTCAGAATCACATTAAAAACAATAATATCAGACCAAGTTCGTATATTTGTAACTCGTGCCTGCCGAAGATAAGATCAAATGAACTACCAGCAAATTGCGTTCTCAATGGACTTTATGTTAGTACAGTTCCGGAAGTTATAACAAATTTGAACAATTTTGAGAAAATTTTAATACAACGTGCAAAAGCTTTTCAGGTGGTGTCGAATATGATTCCAGTGGCTAACAAGAACTTACCAAACAGGCAAATGACTAAGAAGGTTAAAGGAAGGACCTTTCATTTGCCACTGCCACTGGACGCGACGCTTAAAAAACTTCCAAATCCTGAGGAACCATTAAATAGGAATCATGAATTATTTATTTTAGTAAGAAGCAGCCCAACAAAAGGCAAAATAATATGGCAGGATCTAGTAAATATCAATAATGTATACAGGGCACTTCAGTTCCTAAAACAAAAAAACAAATATTACGCTAATATAATTTTGCCACAAAACGCGAAAAGCTCTCAGTTAAAAATCCATAAAAGTGGCAAAAGTTAACCAATTTAAGTAAAATTAGTGTCCGAGTGCGTGTCTCAGTGCCCTCTGTATTTTGGTGAAATTTTTAAGTGAAAAGTCGGAAAATCCAAAGAGTAATTCCAGAAAAACCGGGAATTTTTAAAACTGGAATTTTTATCTCCAAAAAAACTCAGAAAAGCGATCAACGACCTACACTTTTTATATCGCCATATCACGTGTTACATCGAGGCACATCTTCCGACACCTCTGAAAGAACTTTCCGGGAAGAATCTAGGGAGGAACAGTCATTTTCCGGAAACCACGTGGCACGCGGTCTCTGGTAGTAGCTATGTCCAGACACACAAAGGCTTTCGTTTACTATTCAGATAACCATCAAGACGCACTTGGAAAAATCGTCACTATATCAACAACAGCAACCAGTCGACAGATCGAGGATTACAACATCAAGATGGCAATCAAATCGAGGGACTTCAATACATCAAAAATATAACGTCGGAACCCTCAGCCTTACAGAACTAATATTATCTTAATATTTAATTAGTAATCAACATTAATAAATATGTCTAATGCAGCGCTAAGCTGCAACAATATGTACATTTATTATAAATAACTGAGAGCAAATTTTTAAGAAATATTTTGTAAAATTAAATTTTGTTGTCTAAAAAGGGCATAGACCCTAGAGTTCATGGTGTAAAAAAAAACCACCTATTATACTTTATAATGATTACGTTCTTTCACATTTGGAATATGCATCGACGGTATGGAATCCATGTTATACTAAGTATATTCAAGCAATCGAAACAATTTAAAATAAATTTCTTAAAAAAATTAAATATAAGTTTGGTCACGATTTACCTACTCTACTGTCCTTGAAAACTAGACGAGAATATAGAGACCAATTATATCTATTTAAAATTATTAACAGAATTATAGATTCCCCTTATCTCCTGAATAAAATATTAATTAACTTAAAGCCACATTCGCAACTCCAAATCATAAAACAAATTATTACAAAAACAGTTTTATAGTAAGATCGTGTAGCAACTATAACGATAAATATAACCACATAGACTTGTTCAGCAGCGGTTTCAGTAAGTTTAATTCGATACTTAAAAATAATTAGATTAAGATTTGTTAATAACCTTTTTTTTTTTTCTCTTTTTCATATTTCACATGGTTTAAGTTTGGTTTATATACATTTTTACACTTGTTAGTTTTTTTTTAATTACCATACATTTAATTTTACTGTTTTATCTCTTTTATATTGTATACGTATGTTCACTTCCAGATTAATAATTTGTGGAAACTGTATTGGCATGTGGGTTATTTAAGGTTTATAAGTTTTATGTAATACATATAAAATATGCTTGTTTCACTGTTTGTTTCACTTACTTACAAATAAAATAAAAATAAAATAAATTTGTTCCAGTATTGTCCTTGTGATGATAATGAAGAAAATATCATCGTAAGTTTGTTGGGTTTCATGGTTATTAATTTGATAGTCAATTAAGTTTTAAAGCAGTTGTTTTTGTTAGGTGTAGTTTTAAGGAACAGTTTTAAGCTTACATAATATGTTTTATTTATTTTAGAGCTTACATATGCTTCATATGTAGTTGATTTAGTAAACATAAAAAAAATCAACGATTATTACAAAAACAGCAATTATATTTTTTTTGCAATCAACATTACAAGAAAAGGTATTGTATGTGGAATTAAATTCGGTCGTTCACAGTACGAGCTCCGCTGCTATGGAACAAACTTCCAAAATTCATACAGGATAGTACCACTATTGATCATTTCAAAAAACGTTTGATTTCCTAGCTTACCCTTACTCATAAACTGATCTCTTCATAAAATGTATTACATTGTTTTGTACGTATATATGTATATGTTGATATGTATTTATTTATGTATATATGTGTAACATGTAATTATAATATTATTTTTTTTGTAAGTATATAAAGAGTAGTCTGCACTAAACTTTTATCACTCACCTCCTTTCTGGAAGAGACTTTTAGAGATAAGTACTATTATGTTATTTTCTGTCTCTTTTTTTTTTGTGCAATAAAGGATATATTATTATTATTAAATTTCATCACGTTACAAAGTATCAACTTAAAAAAATCCAATTTTTTTCTATAGTATCTAACTATTTTGTGTACAAATACCTACTACAAATCTCAATTTCTTGTTACCCTTTAAATTCACGTTCAATGGCCGTTGTTAGGATAGTCTAAAGTGGTTTCATTTGCAAAGCATTCAATATAATATCAGTTAATAAAGTTAATATTAATTGTAAATGCTTATATTATATTAATTGTGAATTATGAAAATAAAATAAAATTTAAGTTTATGTCAAAGGATTTTTACAAATAAACAAGTTTTATTTGTTATTGCAATAAACGTTATATTATAGGAAAGTTTTGTGTTATTGTCGTAACATTGTTCCATAGCTTTAAACAAGTAAGTGAAATCAAAGGTCAAAAACATATAAAATTAAGAATGGGACGTATAACGACATGAAAATACACAGTTTTGTACAATATTTTTAAGTTATGTACAATATCTTTAATAGGGTTAAGAACATATCGTCGATGCGCGTGCAATACCGCTGAAGAGCAGTTTTAGCCCGAGAGCCAGGTGCAAATTTGGTTAATTATTTCTTCTCGTTAGATAATTGGCGATACGCATCAGACAACAGCATCATAAAGCCCTATGATCGTCAGCTGCGGCGTAGTTGGGGGGGTGAGCAGTTGTAACCTCCCACGCTTGAAGAAAAAAAAATAAATTCACTCATTTCCTCTTTGCTAAAAATTTACCAGACGATACCTTATGTGTAACTATTGATAAAAATATACGTCAGCTGGCTGTATCTCGGTGGAAAAATCGTCAGCTGATACTTTGAAGGTCGTTACGTAGAAGTTAGCCAGAAGCATTTACTGACTATTTAAAGGCATCAGCTGACCAGGTTTCCCTCGACTTATTGCTAGCTGTTTTTTTTTATTTATCACAGTATTATATTTAAAATCAGCTCACAAATTTTCGTGTGGGAGGAAATAACGTCTCTTTAATTATTCTTGTTATTTTTAAAAAATTTAAACAACACACGCTAGTATAGCATAAACAGTGTTAAGGTATGTCTTTCGAAAAGAAAAAAAACGACCATTTTCAATGATGGCTAAATCGAATGATTTCATCGAGTGTTTCATCCAAATGTCAAAATCATTAGAGAATAGAGACAACATTTTTGAGAAAATTCAAGAGTTCGTTTGCCATACGTATGGATTTAACCGCCTGAAAAAGGTCAATGAGGCAAGAGTAGCGTTGTTTGAAAAAACATATAAATTCTTGGATAAAGAGACATTCAAGTTACCAAAGAAAGGTATTGATGGCTCTTCTCTACCACCTTGCGAGTCAGAGCTATATCAGCAATTTTTAAGAGCATGCATTACTCAAATTTGGTCAAATGCACGCTTGAAGGTTCCAACTTCTGATGATCCAGAAGACTATGGTTGGGAAGAAATTGACAATAAATATGAGTTTACCTGGTTCTTTGGAAGTCAGTTACCAACATCGATTGATGAAATAACTATCCAGCCCGAAAAAGGTAACATTTTAATATCATATTAATGATATTATGCTAAAATACGCATTCTAATTTTTTTTACAGATGATGACGATGAAAATATAACAGCAGACAGCTCTGACAGTGACTCGGGCAATGAATCAGAGAGAGATGGTTGTGACTCAAGCCAAAGCGAAGCCGAAAATGATTAAATAACATTCTCATTTGAATTGTAATTTGTCATAATTTTTTTATTATAAATATTTTTTATCAAGTAACTAGTTAATTTATACTAAGCAAATAGATTTTTTAAAAATTGGAATACATCTAAAATTATATATATACTTTAGACGTAAATTATATGATTATATACATACTTTAGACTTATAAGTCTAAAAAATATTGATATGGAATATTTGTTTCACCTCAACACTCATATTGGAGTGATATGCCGAATAATTAAAAAGACGTCATTTGATCCCACACGAAAATTTGTGAGCTGATTTTAAATATAATACTGTTATAAATAAAAAAATCAGCTAGCAATAAGTCGAGGGAAACCTGGTCAGCTGATGCCTTTAAATAATCAGTAAATGCTTCTGGCTAACTTCTACGTAACGACCTTCAAAGTATCAGCTGACGATTTTTCCACCGAGATACAGCCAGCTGACGTATATTTTTATCAATAGTTACACATAAGGTATCATCTGGTAAATTTTTAGCCGAGAGGAAATGAGTGAATTTTTTTTTTTTTTTCTTCAAGCGTGGGAGGTTACTACTGCTCATTCCCCCCACCGAGGCTCAGCTGACATTCACGAGGCTTTATAGTTTGATCTTCTGATGCGTTTTACTAATTATCACTTGAGAGGAACTTGGTCATATAAATCTGTTACTGGCTCTTGGGCTATTTGTTAATACCGCGTAACAGCAAAAGGCGCAAAATTGAAATATCTCGCCAATGGATTCATAACGCGTATTGGCTTGTAGTGGATTAGACACATTTTGAATTAGCCAATAAGGAACCTTAATTTTGACATCGCAACAATACCGCGGAACAGCAGTGCGTCTGAAGTTGGCAGCAAGTCCGCGTATTTACCGTATGAAAAATAAGCGACAGAGAATGTTAGGAGAAGAGTACATCGGATTTAAAAAAGATGGCTTTAAATTTATACAAAATAATCCTAAACCAGCACGAATAATGGGTCCAATATGTATGTCAATGCGATGTTTCAGTGGAAAAGCTATGTATTGTTCGAAATTAACAGAAGAAGTCAGGTCAGAAATTTTTAAAACCTATTGGAAAATGAGTTGGCAAGAAAAGAAAATGTACGTATCTTCAATGGTGGATCAGATTCCTACCACCAGGAAAACTAAAGGCTCAAATTCAAGGCGAAGCGATACCAAAAAATATTTTTTAAAGGTGAATGATAAAAAGGAAAGAGTTTGCCAAAAAACATTTCTGGAAACACTAGGTATAAAAGAATGGACCGTTAGATACTGGCTAGGAGAGAAGATGAATAAAAGTGAATTTGAACCTGAACAAAGAGAAGTAATTGTCAAAGAACCCAAAAAAGATTTAGCTAAAAAATATTTGATTGCTCTACCGAAGCTGCCGTCTCATTATTGTAGACAATCTTCCTCGAAATTATATTTGGAGCCCATCATACAGTCAAAGTCGCAATTGTATCGTCTTTATGTAGATTACTCAGTTTCAAGAAATGAACCGGTGGCTTCAAGAAAGGTATTTGAAGGTGCTTTATTTGAAGAGAATATCGCAATATTTCAACCAAAAAAAGATGCATGCGACCAGTGTTGCGCTCACAAAGCAGGCAATATATCAGATGCGCAGTATACCAAACATATTGAACTAAAAGACTTAGCCAGAGCTGAAAAAAGTTCTGACAAAGAAGCAGCACAGAAAGGAAATATACATGCAATAACAGCAGATCTTCAGGCTGTAAAACTGTGTCCTTGCCTCAATGCCAGTGCCCTATATTTTAAAACAAAACTAGCCGTGCATAACTTTACAGTGTACAACCTGGGGAAAAATAGAGTCACGTGTTACTGGTTCGACGAAACGGTATGCGACTTAAAATCGACTACCTATGCTACATTATTTGTGGACTATTTGACAAAATTAATAGATGATGATCCCAAGGATGTCGTAATATTTACAGATGGCTGTACCGCCCAAAATAGAAACAATATTGTATCGAATGCATTATTGCGTTTAGCTATGGCCAAGAACATAGTGATAACTCAGAAATACTTGGAGAAAGGCCACACGCAGATGGAAGTGGACTCAGTTCACTCTGTGATTGAGAGAAAATTGAAAAATAGAGAAGTGTTTTTTACCCTCTCAATATGCGACTATTACGAAAGAGGCAAGGAAAGTACCAAGTCCTTATGAAGTTATTACACCAGATTTTACTTTTTTTAAAGACTTCGGTCTTAAAGACTATCTGATTTACGAATCAATCAGGCCTGGTCGTGGGGCGGGTGATCACTGTGTCGTTGACATAAGAGCACTCAGGTATAATCCAAATGGTACAATAGACTATAAGCTCCACTTCACACATAACTTTACGCCTTTGCCTAGAAGACCAAAGAAAATACTTTCAATAGATAGTGTGCCTTCACTTTATCAATCTAGACAACCAATAACCACCACAAAGTACCATCATCTGCAGGAGCTCAAGAGTGTCATACCAAGAGACTGTCATAACTTTTATGATAATTTGCCTTTTAAATAATGTTTCTAATATCCTAAACGTTGTGATTCATTACTAGTTTTAATTTGAGTTTCAGATTATTTTGTTACTTTATTTTTGTTATAGTGTGTAAGTATAATAGTTAGCCTTGATAAGAATAAGTGCAATGGCAAAAAAGTGATGTTTAAGTAGATCTCAAAAAATAAGTATTGACTTAAAATTATGCTGTATAGTCCGGTCTATTTAAGCCTAAAATCAGGAGGAAGGTTACATAAATTCCCATAAAGCTGAATATTGGCATAGTTGTTCAAAACATCATTATAAAGAAAATCTCAAAAGTCCTCATCGTTCCGAGGTGTGCTAAAAATTTGGCACGGGGTCAAAGGTCAAAAAAATGAGTTTTTTTGCGATTTTTAGCGAAACGGTGAGTTTTTTCGCAAAATTACCCCAGTACAAAATTGTAGATCACGAAATTCTCTACAAAAAATATATTAATAATTTTTTTCCTAAAAGCCACCATTTTGGAGATATAACGTTCCGAAAAGTTGGATCAGTCGTAATCCCTCTATTTTGCACACGTACGCCACATATGAAAGTCACTAAAGGTGTAATAGAACTAAAATAAGTTCGCTATTATTTATTGTAACTTGCTTATGTAAAATATAAGTTAAACTACGAGAATCTCAGGTATAATGAAACCCCGTTCCTAAATTTGTACGTCAGTATAACCTTGGGATAACATCTGTCTTTTATTCTCTTGTCCGCGTGGCTAGGGTCGTATAGGCATGCCCAATATATGAAATACATACATACCGTTAGTCTTGAGCGCCACTGCGTAGGGAAAACATGTGCTTATCTTAACCTATCTTTTAACCTATTTTGTGCGTTTTAGATTTTTATAAGAAAAATGTCAGAATATTGTTTTATTTGTACTCATCTTTTAACTGAAAGTGAAACTGTAACTGTTGATCGTGGTATGAAGACACTGATTAATGCAAGTGCTGAAAGAGATGATGGATACTCGGAATTTCTTAAAAAACAAAAATCTGTGACAATACATAGCAACTGTCGTAAAATTTATACGCGGAAGTGTTCTATTGCTGCTGCCATCAAAAGAAAACGCGAAGAACAAGAAGCTAACACATCTACAGGATCTACAGTAAGTAGTCCTCCTCGTACTAGATCCCGTTCAAGTGATTCAGCTTTTTGTTTTAAAAAACTATGTTTATTTTGTGGCAATAAATTGAATGAAGAGTTGCAGAGAAAAAAATCCTTAGATCGTCGCAGTAAAATTTGTCAAGTAAGTACACTCCAATTCAAACATTCAATTTTGGAAGTAGCACGAACTCGTTCCGATGCTATATCGAAAGCTGTTGTTGCTCGAATCGAATTTGACTATGATTTAGTTGCTGCTGAAGCAAAGTATCACCAAGAATGTTATACTTCTTTTTTGAAACCGACTACTGGCGGTACAGTTGGTCGTCCTAAAGATGAAGCAACAGATCTGGCAATGCAGGAAATATTTACATACATTGAGAGTAGCAATGACTGTCAGTTTACTTTGGCTGAGTTAAAAGATGTTAGCAAAATTTTAACTTTAGATAACAGGACTATTAAGCTGCGACTTAAACTGAAATATGGCGATAAAATTATTATCACTGAAAAACCGGGAGCGTTAACATTTGTATGTTTGATAAACAGTCACCATGAAATTTTAAATCAATCTTGGTCCGAAAATAAAAAAATTAATAAACAAGAAGAACGATTAAAAACTCTAGAAGCAGCAGCATCTATTATTCGAGAAGATATTCAATCCTCGGTATTTGATAATTCCTACTACCCTCCACCAGGTCGAATGTTTGAAGATTTAAATAATGACATCCCACAGTCACTGACATTTTTTTTGGAGCAAATGATCTTAAAAAATAAACGATCAAATTTCGATCATTTAAAACTAGTATGCACCAATATTTGTCATAGTATCATGACTGCTATTCGACCAAGATCGTTCAAGTCCAAATTACAGTTAGGTCTTTCAGTTTTTTTTTTCATCGGAGGTTCGGGTCTAAGCGTCTTATACAAATTTTGTCGTCTTTTGGTTTGTGTGCTTCTTATATAATGATACATTGATGTACGAGTCAGCAGCAGTTTTTCATCCTCTTCCTCATGTCCTACCACCTGAAAGTGGCACACTTATTCAATACGTTGCAGATAATGCTGATATAAATGTTAATACGCTAGATGGTAACAATTCACTCCACATAATGGGTATAATTCAAATTGTAACTCCAAAGCACTCTGTTTTACTAGAAGAACCTATGCAACGAATAAAAGAAGTTCTTTCAGCAAAACACTTCAAAGCAAAAGCTCATGTGCCAATACAGATCTATCAGAATAGTGATGTAGTTGGTGACAGTAAAATATATGTCCAAGATTTTGGATATGGAACTGAAACAGTATCTTTTCATAAAAATTCTGATGTAGTATGGTTTTATGGAAAGTGGAAGTTTGAGATTTTCTTTATAATGATGTTTTGAACAACTATGCCAATATTCAGCTTTATGGGAATTTATGTAAACTTGAATGTGTAAATAGACCGGACTAGTAATTTTAAGAAAGAATATTGATTTGACATTCCAAAGATAGTGATTTTTGGATATATAGTAAAAATGGGTATTGTATTTTCATGAGAAGGGACCGATCTCACTCTGGAACATAATAATAAAAAAAGGTTTCTTTATAATTTGATTATGGATATTATATACTTAAGTAGTAAAAATAATTGTTTATCAGATAAGTTTTTTTAAGAAGTCTAAACTTATATTTTTGAAGTTATTTTTGTTATTTTGTCGTAATAAATTAATTCTTTCAATAAAATGTTTTATTTCAACTCCGCGTATTTGCTAATAATAAATTGATTTTTCTGATATTTAGTGCTACAAAACCGCGTAAGTGACTTTTCGCGGAATCTAAACAAGTTATGGTTGAATTTACGTCATTTTTTTACAGAGTAAGTCACGAAAAAGTTACTACTTAGTTTAGTCAGTATATTTTTATAGGCAAATGACTAAGATATCCAGTTTTTTTCGCCTCGTGTAAAATCGTACAAAAGCAGTTACGCGGTATTAACAAACTGCTCTTTCGCGGTATTGCACGCGCATCGACGATATAACGGTTCAGGATAATACAGTTTTTTTGACTAAGTGGGACCTATTGGCCATGTGTTTACGGTATTAAGATTTATTTATTTTAATTTTTTACGAATAAGGTGACCCAGTATTACTCTAGCTTCTAATTTGTGTCAGGTACTGGCACCAGTGTCACGTTACATTATATAAGCAATTATCTATTTTATAATTTTTTATTTGTCATTGACTTCTAAACTCTTGTGTTTTAGCAAAGTTATGTTTTAGCATTCCACCGCGAGTGGTATTTTTTATATTTTTTGTGTATTTGTTAAGTATCATTCGATTTCAATAACCCTCTAATCTCTAAGAGTATGGAAAATATACACATTTCTGTTTTAAAAACATTTCTGTTTTAGACAACAACAACTCATTTCTGTTTTAAATTTAGTAAGTTATGCAAATAACATTTAAAAGTAAATACAAATAAAAAAGGTTCACTCTTTTCTCAGTTCGTATACTCCAAGTTCGTACAAGAAGGTGCAGCAAAAAGTATTGAAGAAACCTTAATAACACTCGAACGAGAAAAGATAGACCTAATGAAAAAAAATTTAAATGAAGATGACGACGACTTAAACTGGTTCAAGTCTATAATGCCGTATATGAAAAAGCTACCATCTCTGAATAACGGGACTCGGACTCGGACGAAGACGAGGGGTGCTCTACAGACACCCCCAGTAAATCTTCTCATAAGAAGAAAGGAAGAGGTCGCCCGCCCACAACAGGCGAATACGTCGGGCTAGCCAAAAAAGCCTATATAAAGGCACAAAGAGAAGAGATGGAGGCGCGCGACGCTATCATGGCGATTAAAGAGGACGCGCTGGTGCTCGCGCGAAGGACGATGAGTGAGGAGACAAGAGCACTCAAAGAAGATAACGACCGCCTCCGCAAACAGGTGGAAACCCTGCAGAAGGAGATGGCTGAGGTTCGGGCGGACATGCGAAGCAGGGCGTCAGAGCCCCGCCAACTGTCCACCGACTGTGAGGAAATGGAAGCCCGAATTTTGAGACAACTAAGCGCACGCCTTAACGCGCGCATAGATGGGTTGGAGCCGAGGCTCAACCCTGCGCCGCGTCTTCGGCCTCCCCTCGCTTCTGACAAGAGAAAGGAGACCGCTCAAGGAGCGCAGTTGGCCGCAACAAGGCCTAAACCCAAAACCGCTACCCCAGAACCCGAGGTGACAACACTAACACCTCCGGCGAACCCTGGTCGGCAGGAGAAGAGGAAGAGACGGGAGAAAGTGACTGCTGCGGCGAAGGAGGCGGCAGCCACCAGAAGGGACGGTTCGCCCAAAACTCCGGGCGCGGCCGAGGGCACACCCTCGAAGGAATGGACAAAAGTCTCAAATCGGAAGGGACAGAAGAAGGCAGTTCCGCCGCCGAAAAAGGAGCACAAACAGAGAAGACTGCGGGCCCCGAAATCGGCGGCAGTGGTCATCACTCTGCAGCCAGAGGCCACAGACCGGGGCGTCTCTTATAAAGACGTCCTGGAAAGGGGCAAGAAGAGGATAGACTTGGCGGCCATGGACATAGGGGCTGTCAAGTTTAAAGTGGCTGTCACCGGGGCGCGCATGCTTGAGGTGTCGGGTTCGGGCTGTAAGGAAAAGGCCAACCTCCTTGCAGACCGGCTTAAAGAAGTGCTGGCAGAGGACGCCCGGATATCCAGGCCGCAGAAGTGCGCCGAACTACGAGTGTCGGGACTCGATGACTCCGCGTCCGCTCCCGAAATAGCGGCCGCCATCGCCAACAGTGGCCTTTGCGCGGCGGAGGAGGTGAAAGTCGGCGAGATTCGGCGCAATCGAGGGCGCGGCACGGCGTGGGTGAGATGCCCAGTGGAGGCCGCCAAAAGAGTGACCGCGAAGGGCTGCAGGACAAATGTCGGGTGGACCGTGGTACGCGTCACCCTACTCGAAACACGGCAGATGCGGTGCTTTAAGTGCCAAGAAGTGGGCCATACTTATTATTTCGGACTCAGGTTCAGGAGGCGCTCATCAACGAAATATCAAAATTGAATACCCCATCAAACACAGGATCTTCAATGATGGGTTACTTCACTTCTGGTGATTCATCTCAGTGATAATTTTATAATAATTAAAATATTTATTTTCAATAATACAATATTATGTAGTTTCATTTACTATGTACTCACCGCAATGTCAAGAGTAATCTTTCTTCAATAGAAATAGGTTTTCAATAGAAATAGGAAATCGAAAGTAGACGGCAACACTCCACAATATTGTTTAAACATTTTAGAATCGTTTCTTAATTTTGGATATAAATGATTGTAATACACATACGCGTACGAGTATTTGGATATGGACTTACAGATAGTGTTTTATGTATTTGTTATTAGTTATTATAAGTATTTTAAAATAATATTAGTTATTGATAATTTTTTTTTGCAATGGTTTGGGTATATTTTATATTATAATTTCCTTGGATTTAAATATGATAACTTTTTCGAATACGTTACATTTAAAACAAGGTCTACAACATTACAATTTAATCTTTTTACCGTAATAATTCAAAATATATTATTTTTTGTTTACTATAATGTTAAGCTTGTTAGTGTTTATTGCGTTCAAGTTTACATTATGTATGTATGTGATAGGTTCTATATTAAATGATTAATCAGCGACACTTGAAAGTTGGTTTTATAAACGCCAGTTCTGTCGGGACCAACCATGAGGAACTTATTGTGGCCTTGGAAAGGCACAACGTAGATATATTGGGCCTTAAGGATTGGGCATTGAGGAACCTAAATATAATTCATAACTTTAGAAACAAATACAGAAAAATTCTTCTTGATAAACAAAAGCAAAATATGTAGTAATTGAATTATTCACCTAAGTATGTTTATTTTAAATACAATATATTTATATTTTAATGTATATACCTAAATGTATAATTAATATACATATATGCCTGGGTGTGTGTTTGTATGTGTATGAGTGTTTGTATGAGAGTGGTTGTCTATGTAAGGTATAGGCACCTATGTTGGACGCGGACCAGTCATGGACAATTTTTGACTTTTCCTCCAAAATTAAGCAAAGACGCTGAATTTTATTCCAAATGACAACACGGGTCTGTTGAGTCAACACTGTAGTTGTCATACCAACTGTTTTTAACAGACTACATCCATTTGGATGGCGGCTATATAGGTTTTTTGTTGCGCGGCGGCAGTTGGTGCCGGGAATCGTAATTTATTAGAAGAATCGTATTGCGAGTAAGTACAGTTATCGTCTTGTTATGTGTCAGGTGTATAGTCATTGTTGAAATTGTTATTATTTAGTGATTTATCAATAGTAGTACATTTATTTTATAATATAACACAAAATTTCATTGTGATTTAAACCTTTGAATTACCGGTGTCCATAACTGGATATTATTCAAGCACATACACCCAATCATGTACAGAATGTCCATAAAGGGAACTTCCTGATTTTTATTATTTTTCATGTATCATACGTCTGTACTAATATATCTTCATGTTTCTCTAGAAAACTGAAATTAATTTTTTGTCTATCCAATAATGGACATTCTGTCCATGACTGGATGTCTGTAATAGGTTCAACATATTTTTAATACAAACAAATCTTTTTTTCCAACCAGAAATGACACTTAGGAGAAAATATCTGTTGCCGCTACAAGATACGGAGTCCCAAGGATAACATTACATAATAAAATTACCGGGAAAAGTCGAATTGATTGTAATCTAGGTCCAACTACGGAACTCACCTATGAAGAAGAAAGGAAACTCGTAAAATGGATAACATTTATGGGTGAAAAACATTTTCCTGTCTACAAAGAACAATTGCTTGATAGTGTCCAAAAAATTTTATTTGAGCAAAAGTTAGATTCCTGTCCGTTCACAAAATATACCTAAACCATTAACCAGTTATATTATTCTTGGACGGCCATAGGTCACACATGACATGACATGAAAAATAATATGATTGAAGTTATCTCTACCCGAACTCGACTCATCTGCTTCAGCCGATGGACGTTGCGGTGTTTAGGCCTTTAAAGGTAGCATGGCAGAATCAGGTGAAGACTTGGAAAATAGGCAATCCGAATCAAACAATGAAAAGAGAGCATTTTGCTCCAAATTTTGAGACAGCTTTACAAAATATTACGACAGACACCATAAAAAACGGATTTCGTAAGAGTGGGCTTTTTCCCTTTGGTCCAGAGTATGTAGATATGAACAAAATAAGCTCACAAAATCGTGCAACTGTTTCCACATCAGCAATAGAAAAGAAAATTAACACGACAAAACAGTTTATAAATACTTTAGAATCAGAAATCCTTATTATTTTGAAAAGATTATTAATTTCCATTGATGGCTGTTCATATTTAGATTATGTCCATGAATGGGTGTCCTATACTGGATTATATCTGTCCATTAATGGTGTTTAAGTAGGAGTGTAGTTTATTTACAATATTTTATTGTACTGAGTACCAAACTAAAATTAAACATGGAATACTGATTGAAAAAAGAGCTTTTTATTGACCTTCTAATGCCAAAGAATATATATTGAAAAATGAAGAAGTTACAAAGCAAATCTCTAAAAATATCGCTTATACTGTCCATGACTGGTGACTTTACCTTATATACAGATATATATATGACATAACTATGTTAATTGTATATAATTTTAAATATGTGTATTTAAAATATATTTATGTATTTATTATATAATTTAACTGTCACAATAACACTTAATATGTATTTATAAACTTGTTCACCGCCACATCAGACAGGTTCAAAGGGTACCATTGAAAATCAGCATAAGCTGAATGGTATACCTTTTTGGGACACGTCTTACTTATTTTAATGTTTATTTTTTTTTTTGTTTTGTTTTGTTTTTTTTTATCCTATGTTTTATTTTTTTTTTCGTGTTTTGGTGTAGGTATATTATAGTAAATTAGTCATAAGTTTTATTTTATTCTGTATCCTTATGTTTATTATTATTTTTTTTAATTTGTAATTTTTCTTTGTTTTTTTTTATACCTAACTATATAACTATACGTGTCTCAAATAAAAACTTTCTTTCTTTCTTTCTAATGAAACCTGGCTAAAACCAGGGGAAAAAGGGCGTGCACCTAAAATTCCAGGTTACAGTCTATCATAAGTAATAAGGAATTTATGTCTTTTTATGTACCTGTTCCCTAGTTGTTCGTTCCGTAAAGTTCATATTCTTATTACCTATGTTGTTTCACTTATTTTTGTATTACGATTTTTGTTTTTTTTTTATATTGTTTGTTTGGTTTATATGTTTTTATATTGTTACTTCCTAGTAATGTTTTTTTTTTCTTTTTACTAGTGTTTAGATGTGATTTGTACTTTGTTTTTGCTAACTGTTAATGATAAATTGTCACAGCTGTCAGTGTACACCTTCTGGAGACCGCTGAAAATCAGTATAGAAGCATCACTGATGCCTCTTCCATTACTGAGCGGATCTCCATTTGGTTTTATTGCACTGCAGCAAAATTATTATAATTTTTTTTATTTTTTGTAATTATTATTATTGTTTTTTCTTTTATTTTTTTTGTTTAGCTTTCTTTTTCTTCATTGTAGTTTGTAGGTATTGATTGTTGATGTAGTGCAATATTCACCAATAAAAAGATTTATTTTATAACCTGAGCTCAATCATCCACCATATCAATGATGATGCGATAACGAAAGCTAAGCTGATTCTAACAATCGACCCGGCTCTATATGTTCACATTAAAAACGCGACAACATCGAAAGAATTTTAGGAAAAATTGAAGATGTTATTTGATGACTCGGGATTTACAAAACAATTAGTCTTCTGAGAAATCTAATATTCTATTCTCGGAAGTCTTATATTACACAAATTGTAGAAGCTGGTTAGAAATTACAAGGTACGGGATTTGGTATTAACGTCGAATGAATTGGAGCTATCGTGTTGGCTGGTTTAACGGAAAAATACATGCCCATGATAATGACCATCGAGCATTCCGGCAAAATAATTACTTCAGATGCCCTTAAAGGAAAGTTGATGGACATGGAACCGGAAGACGGTGATGCCAATAATTTATTCACATGTTTCCGCAAGAATCAACGTTTCAAAAAATTTGAAGTATACACAGTCTATGGTCAATAAAAATGGCGGAACAGAACAAATGTCAACATCCGTCGAAGGAAAACCAAACGTCAAATCTTATAATTGCAAACAGCAAGGTCACTATCGTAACCAATGCACTAATATTGATAAATCTTACAAGACTTCTGAAACCAAATCGGCGAAAACAAGCAATGTGTTTAGTGATGTGTTTTTTAACAGAATATTTGACAAGAGTGAGTTGTATGTCGACTCTGGCACAACTTGCGCCGCGCAAGTTCACACTGAGACAAGCAATGAAAATTGGTTGATTGATGCGTATTTTTCTGGTTTCACCAAAGAAATCATGGTTGCTAATGAATACAAACTTCCAGTACTATGTTGTGGAAACGTAAACATTACTACGTTAACTGAAGAGTGCGACTTTAACATAACTGTTGAAAAAGTGTTAGGTGTTCCCAAGTTATCTACTAATTTATTGTCAGTAAGCCAGTTGATACGGCAGGGCAATAAGGTGCATTTCATTGACAAAGGTTGTGAAATACTAAATAAACAAGATACTCTAGTAGCTACTGCATCACTCGTGAATAGAGTTAACAATTTAAATACTTCTTGTTTGATGGCAGCTGTAGCAGAGTCTCTTGAAGTTTTTCATCGTAGATTGGGACATGTCAACAGTTACAACATGAATAAGATGCAGGATACTGTGGAGGGCATTCAACTAACTAAGAAGGCTGATATCAACAAGTCCAGTTGTATAGTGTGCCACGAAGGAAAGCAAAGTCTTTGCCTTTTAGTAATGAAGGGAACAGGAGTACTGAGCTATTGCAAGTTGTGCACTGTGACATATGTGGGCCGATGGAGAATATATCACTAGGAGGATCAAGGTATTTCTTAATTTTTGTTGATGTTCACAGCCGAATGACATATGTTTATTTTCTAAAGAGTAAAAATGAGGCTTTACAATATTTTAAAGATTATAAAGCAA